GGGACCTACCTGCCCCACCCACCCCAACCCCACCTGCATCCTGACATGGGTCCACCCTGCAGAAGCACAGGGACAATACAGTCCTTAAAACACAACAACCCCCCTAGCTGCCTTCAGCTGGGCATGAGCTGCTCCAAGTCAGGGGGGTCGATCTGCTCCAACCATCCACACTCCCCTGCCCAGCCCCAGCCCTCAAAACCAGCACAGCACCTCAGGAAGGGGATGGTGGAGCAGGGCCTCAGAGACTCAGTCTGAAGGCTGAGCTCACTGTGCCCTCTCTCTCCCAGACCCTGAGTTAAAGTTCCTGGTCCCAGGTCAGGTGTTCCTCAGCCTCCGCCTCGGCTGTGTACTCATGCTCCCCTTCCCAGAGCCACCTCAACAGGATGGCTAGCCTCATGCTGTCCCTCCCAGAGCCTTCCCAAACCACCACCCGTTTCTCTCCCTCTCCAGTCTGGAAAGGGCTCCCTGCCCAGCCTTGTCACTTGAAAACTCCCAGAAGCTGCATGACAGCTGTGTTAACAGGCACACCTGCTGTTTATAAGAGCCCATCATGGCTCCACACCCGGTCCAATTTCCCTCTTTCTCTCTCTCTCTCTCTCTCTCTCCTCTCTCTCTTTCTTTGGTCAAGCGTGGAGGGAATGAGTCTCTGTTTCTAAACAGAAACGCAGGCGGCTCAGAGAGAGTGAGGAGCTCCACAGCGGACCCCCAGGGGGCTGACAGCTGAGCCCGAAACCTCTCTGGTTCTCTCCACTTTGCCTGCCCTGGCAAGCTCCCAACACAGTTCACCAAACTTTCCCAGACCCCTCTCAGCAGGCTGGGCCAAGGAGGCATGGGTGGGAACAGCCTCCTCCAAGAGCAAGGGTGGCTGTCCCAAAGGAGAGCATGACAAACAGAGGCGACAGCTGGCTACGGCTGCCAGTCCAAAGCCAGGCCCTGCTCCCATTGGTCTGGGCTGGGTTTGACACCTCCATCCCTCCTCCCCCTCGCCTCCCGATGACTCCAGCTCCAGCCACCCTCATCTCTCACCGGCTGCACAGGCAATGACAGGCCCCAGCCAGCGCTTATGAAGGCAGCCAGGAGACAATACAGATGTGCACAGCTGCAGTCCGCCGGGGTGGGGGAAGAACAGTATCCTCTGAAAGTTGACCTGCCTCCAAAATGTCTAACCCTGGGATCCCCAGGCTTCTCACCCTGCACCTCTCCCCTTGAAACCTCACTCGATCTCGCCCAGATTAAACCTCAGCAGCACAGGGACTTCCATCCTACTGGCCACAGGCTGTGGGGCCTTGGGCAACTTCCTTCCACTCTCTGAGCCTTAGTGTCCCCAGCCATAAAATGACAGTGAGGGATGATGGTCTGAAAGCTCTTTCCAGTTTCAAATGAATCTGGCTCCTAAGATAGGCAGTCTTAGTGGTCACAGCACTGCTTTCCACTACAGGGCAGTGGTCAGCAAGGGTAGGGGTATTGGGGTCCCCAGTACTCAAACCTCTGCTGGGGGAAAGTGGGGAGGCTAGATTGAATGAGACCAGACTAAGGGGTCTCATGAGCCTGGATAGTTTGTAAACAATTATGCCTTTATTTTCCTAACTTCTAACTAAAAGCAAGCATTTCCTTCAATCAGAGTGAAAGCCGCCCCTTCAGATCCCAGGATGTGGGCACCATAGAGCTCACAGACAGTTCACATCACACCTCAGCTGTGCAGGTATCTGGAATGTGGCTTGCACTCATCACTCCTTTCAAACCACAGTAATCATCAGACCCAGGGGTGACACAACTGGACAACTTGGGGTAATTGCACCTAGTGGTCTTGAGCCCCCACAGCAGGATCCCAGGTTCCCACAGCTGAGTTTAGCTCAAAAAGCACGGAGAATTCTGATGATCCTGGAGAGAAGCCTACCCTCACCTTACAAAGCCAGCCATAGAGAAGCTGCTGTTCCATCTGCAAAGAGGGTTCTCAGCACTTGGGACCATCAAGACAATCACAATCGCCTGGTGTCCATCATGCTGGGTATGTGCCATCAAAGACATGCTCCAGCTTAATGTCCCCCTCAAAGCTGAGCAACAAAAGCCTCGTCACTGAGATATCCTCAAACAATAAAATTAAAATATTTATTCCCCTAATGGTTATCTCATTAATACAATAATAATTAAGGACATGTTACTACATCACCAATTTGTTTTTTAGTATTTTTTTTAAATATATCTTTATTGATTTCAGAGAGAGGAAAGGCGAGGGAGAGAGATAGAAACATCAATGATGAGAGAGTCATTGATCGAGCCCGCAACCCAGGCATGTGCCCTGACCGGGAATCGAACCCCGATCGCCTGGATCCTAGGTCGATGTTCAACCGCTGAGCCACGCCCGGCCGGGCTGTTTTTTAGTATTTTGATAGCTCTCTCAATAAAATGTACTTCCTCTGTAATCCCATGTATTTTACTCTGGGCATTTAAAAATATTCTGAGAAGAGGTCCATGAACTTCTACCAGATTGTTAGAGAGACTCTTGGCAAATTAACAAAAAAGTGGAACTCCTACTTTAAGGAAAGAATATTACCCACCAAACACAGGCCCTCCTCCGCCTTTTCATTGACTTCTGTTTATTAGCATTTCAAAGCGCCTACTAAGCACCAGGTACCACAAAGGGAGCCTTCCATCCTATGGCCCCCAAGGACCAACCCTGTAAGGTTGAGGCCTATCGTGCCCATTGATGAGGACAGCTGACCTTTGGTAAGGAACAGCAGTTAATAACTACTCCTCATCAGTTTGCCTTCTGGTCTCTTCACGCTGACCCTGGCAGCAAGAGCACCCCCACACTCTCCCTTCCCCCTGGGATCAGTACAACCCCCACTAGGGACCCTCACCACTCCACTCTCTGCCAGAACACCCCCCACCTAGCAAGATTGATACATGGAGGGATCAGGAACACCAGACTCCATTTCCCCCTCGGTGACCAGCTAAGAAGCCATAGACTTGTCTGGGCTGCAGCTACTATGGCATTTAAGCAAGTGCCACACACATACATGCTATCCTCCTGCCTCTGGGAAAGCACAGAGCAGTCAGTCCCGAGAGAAAAGAAAGTGCCCTATGGAATCCTTGGCAGATAGGTGAGCTTGTTTCTCCAAGAAGAGTCAAACTCTCATTTAATCCTCACCAAAAAAAGAGGTGCCAACTCTTACACCTCATTATCAAGTTAAGAAAAAATAGTAATTTGAAAATGGGCAAAAGATGTAAAGGTAACATGTGGATGCCAAGTAAACATATTAAAAGATGTTCAGCATCGTTTGTCACCAGGGAAAGGCACTAGGTGCTCCCTATCCTCTGCCCCACAGGGCGCTCACCTCTATAGTCACAACTTCATGCCCACTTCCACAACGCATCACTGTGCGACCTCGGCCAAGTTACCTCTCTGGGCCTCAGTTGACAATTCTGTGAAATGAGGCCAGTAGCAGCACCTCCCTTATGGGGTTGTTGTGAAGGTTAAATAATAACATATGTAAAATCCTCCAGACAGGGCCCGGTCAGTGAGTGCTCAATAAAAGTTAGCTGTTACTAGACCTTACTATGGTGGGGGGGATGGAT